CAGCTACCTCACAACACACAGTTCTCAGGTACAATACTACATTCATTCCAATTTACCAATGTCTTTCAAATCTGTCGTCATTAACACTCGTTCCCTTTTATCCAAATTAGATATACTTTCAACACTTATGTGTATGAGATCCCCCGATATTGCTTTTATCACTGAAACTTGGTGCACGTCAGAAATTAGTGATTCTCAGCTTAACATCTTAGGCCATAAGCTTTTCCGTAAGGAACGCTCACACAAACGTGGTGGTGGCTGTGCCATATATCTCCGAAATAACCTGACTCCAATTCCTCGCAGATCAACCTGTGTTCAATGGCTTAAAAGATAGACAATGGCTAGTGATCCCATCTATTGATCTTCTAGTGGGTTGTATCTATCGGCCGCCCCGAATTACACAAAGTGAAACCCAAAAGCTAATCGATATGATCAATGCTGCTTCCAGCACCACATACAAATCCAAAATGATGTGTGGAGATTTCAACCTACCACATGTTAACTAGATGCTGCATACACTCAGAAACACTGCGGAAATTGAGGAAATCATCTCATGTATTCACCTCAATGGCTGGACCCAGCATGTTAGAGAGCCAACCAGAAGTGCCACTACCTTAGACCTTGTATTCATGATGGGAATCGTTTACGCTTATACATTCATTGATAATCCACTACCTGGCTGTGATCACAACACGGTGCTTTGTGATATGACTATAGATTCAACTAAACGACCAAGTAAAATGATAAAACCCATTCGCAACCTCCATCATGTGGACTGGAACTCTTAACAAACTTATCAGTACCATGAATTGGAATACGTCATTCCTAACTCACAACCCTACTGTGGCTACAAATGAGTTCATGAACAATATTGCCCTTGTTGTGGATCTACTGGCACCTACTGTATGGAGAAATACCAATGAACATAGTGGTGAACTCAAGCTTCTGTACAAAGCCAAAATCAAACTAAAGAAACTCGAATCGCTATATCGCAGGAGCAACAGTTTCACAACATTGCTACGAATACACGAGAATTTACTACATTTACAATGTCTAACCCAAACGATCAAAATCAAAGAAGAAAGTCGGGTACTCAGAAATCCTGCGAAAGTACGTGCATTGATGCAACTACTCAAAAGAAGAAACCCTAAACCAATTCAGGAAATTGAAACGTTGGCTCTAGACGATGGTTCAATAACGCGCGACATCTCCTGTATATGCGAGGCCATGAACTCTAGTTTCCCTCCTCTTTTTTCCACAGCATTCAGCCACTTCATCCTACACTCCCAAAAAAACGACCGGAATACGCTGCAATATCCCTGTGACGTTAAGAGAGGTGCAAAGTGCCATCGCAGCCATAAAACCATCAACTCATCCAGGCCCAGATGGCATCTTCCCAACTGTTCTAAAACTCGGAGGAAAAAACCTCGCTCTATTGTTATTAAACATCTTCACACTTTCACTCACTACCGGCTGCTTTCCAACTTAATGAAAGCAATCCATTATAATGCCTAAGCACAAGGGTGGTCCGAGAAATAAAGTGTCAAGCTACCGCCCAATAAATCATACCTCTGCTGCTTCCAAACCCCTAGAGCGAATAGTCAAGAAAAACATTGTTCAATATCTTACAGCATGGCTTTCTCTTAAAACGCTCCCGCGTTACATGCCAGCTACGATTTCTCGATCACGTCACAACTATGATTGACAGAGGAATGACAAGTATTATAATTCTGTTGGATATGCAAAAGGCGTTTGACCGCGTGCCGCACAAGCCACTGCTGTCTGCTCTAGTCATATGGAATTGGAAATCCTCTGCTTAACTGGTTCGACTCAGTTAAAATCGGTCAGCAACATTCTACACCGAAACAAATAACTAGCGGCGTCTTCCAGGGAAGTGTGCTGGGATCACTACTTTTCCTAATCTACGTAAACAACATATGCGACCCGATCAAACATGGACACACATTTCTGTTTGCAGATGACGTCAAACTGGTTTACTCATTTCATCCAGACCAACTACATATAAGTTTGGGAAACATCTGTGAAGACCTATCCGCAGTAAATATAGCTAGTGTGCGTTTATTAATGAAGTTCTCCGCAGTGAAATCCCAAGTACTTGGATACAGATGCCGCATCCCAGAAGGCTCCATCATACTTGCCTGAAACGTGATCCCGACATCTGACTTAGGAATTAGGTACTCCAACTCTTTCAATTTCTCCGAACATGTTCTTTATCAGGTTGCGAAAGCAAGGCAGTTATGCGGATATATCACCAGAACTTTCTCCCTACCTGAAGCACGACTTCAGTCATTCAAGACAACAGTACGACCGACTCTGGAACATTGTACTATTGTTCACAGCCAATTGAGAAAGAAAGACAGAACGGATCTGGAAAATGTCCAACGATCATTTACCAAGCTGGTCATGAGGCGCTGTTCAAACCTGACTTATTATGATCGCTGTCGAAAACCAACTGGGTCCTCTTTGGCTGAGACGGTTAAAGAACAACCTTGTTCTCTTCTACAACATTATAAACCAACGAATCTACGCAGACAGCACCGCACTTGAACTACGAAGGACTGCAGTCTACCCCACACGTAATGGCGGCTACTTGATATGCACAAACCTTTCAAGTCATAAATCTCGGTCGAATTTCTTCTTAGTGAGATACATTGATCTATGGAACAAACTGCACCTACAGATACACATGTGTACAAGCCATGTCACGTTACAAAATTTCCTTCAGACGTTCCTCACTATACCAAATGTGTTGAAGATATTTGAGTCACAGCAAACTCTAGAAACATTGACAGAAGCTGGTATAAAAAACATATGAGCAGATATTCGCTTACAACAAGCTTACCCACTACATGTCATTACATGCAATACCAAATCCTGTGTCTGTGTAGCCTAGTAGTCCGTCCCTTCTTTTATCTACTCCTGATGACACAAACATCCGTAAATTTTACCTATGAGGTGCACGGGTCTAGGACCAAAGGGAAAAAATCATGATCCGAAATTCTATCAATAAACTTTTCTTTATTATTATGAAACGTATTCACTATACAAATGATCGCTTCCACTTATGGGGCCGCGTACCGTCTTTCGGTAAACATAGAAATTCATTTATTTAAATTTATTTATTTATTTAATACTACAGTAGCCTTTAAAAGAGGTCTACATATGAATTGGTCCACTCTGTTTCTCGAATTGCACTGAGATTAGTGGACTCAAATTAGTACCAATAGGATGTCACACATAGTTTCATGTAACTGTGAAAGGTTCCTCTTATTCTTTTTTGTCTCTGCAGAAGTAAAGCTTGAAGGTCAAAGTGCCGGAGGGCCTTAGCTTGCTTGCCGGCACAAGAAATGGGACGCTCGTTAGGCGAAGGCCTGTTTCGTCCCTGAAGACCTAACCTGACAATCATCGCCACCTGTAGCACCGGCGCGACATCAATCTAACCCTGAAAGGCAGAGTTTACAATGTAGTTGTGCGTTCAACTCTGATGTAGGTCTGCGAAACCTGGCCCACCAGACCGAGACGCAAAGAGGTTAGTCTACATTCGATTACCGGCACTTACGCATTTCGGCTTGCATCTGGTGGGAACACCGAGCGAATAATGAGCGTGTTCGGTGTCTTGTATTTGGTGCAAGAAGAGGAAGTGAACCGCTCAGCACCCTTATTTCACGCATCGCGCTTCGATAGCTGAGCCACATGTTACGAATTCTAGCACACCGATTCCAGCGATGTGATTTACGCGACCCGGGTCCGGGTGAAAGAAGAGAATGGGAGACCAACCGATGGCTTGGTCACGAGGATTGAAGGCCTTCAATTTGAAGTTGGCCTCGGTTGGGGCCTCTCGACTCTCGAGCTGGTAGGATACACTTGTTGACATGGTGAACAGACGATTTCATTGGCGTGTATTGTGAGTTCCTCCGTCCCATCTCAAGCCGATTAGTGTCCCCCTTCAACTACGATCTCCCTGCCGATGCATTACAATAAAAAGCATACTATTACCTGTTGGTGTGGTTTGTGGGCAACGTTTAGCTTCTGACACAAAAGCTTCGTCAGGCCGAGTGAACCAGTCGTGGATTGATATAGCGAACTGATTCATCTGGCCTGACGAATCTGTTGTGTTAAAAGCGAAACGTTGCCCACAAACCATACCAACCGGTTGTTTTCAAACCTTTCTGAAATTATGAGTTCTCGATCAGTTCCAAGTATTTTCCAAGATGTTGACATACTATTACCTGTTTCCATCTTGTACTTTGTGGTTTCACAGCTTTTTTCGTAAAGCTTACTGTAATGTGCTGCCGTACAACATCTGTTTCTCTTCTCCAACTGAAATGTAGAATGATCATGCAGTGAATCTGTCAATCCGATCACTTCGGGCCGAACGTCATTCACCATAAATCAAACCGTCGTCACATTTAAAGCTGTGTCTCAAAAAGGACAAAATTCAAACCCCCCTAAAACCAGTGAGCTTCAGGGTTAGTTCATAATGCAAAGATGTGAGCAACGACCTAGAGTGGTGGTTGTGTTAACGAAGCCGGACTAAGTAGAAACATATTGCCAAACCGCCTTTATACCCCGCCCGTTGCGGTCTAGAGATGAGAATAGTCGTCGCGAGTGGAGTCACGGATTGACTTCCTGATAAGTCGAGAGCACGCTGAACTGCCAGTGAGTAAAGAAAGAATGGGACGAGTGATTGCGATAAAAATAACTCTCTGCTTACACCTAATTCCAGCCTTATGGAATTCATAGCAGAACTGAGTGAAAATCGAACGACACTTCTGGACAGTGTAGAAGAATATAACACATTTATGATAACGCATTAACTGTGGCTCGTTAAGCATCCACTCCGTTCGTTAGACATTCACTACTACTGCGGGACCAGATCTCCTGCGAACCATGATGTGCTTTGCGCGACCATTTGGTGGACTGGAATCCACTGGTACCGCACACACGCGTAGGAGTATTGAAGAAATATGTGAACGTACCACGTAGTTCGGTTTAAGTTCGCGAATGAAAGCACTGGTCTGCTGGTAGTCCGTATGGGCGGAAAAGCTTATGTAGTCCACCGAACATTTCAGTGGCAAAGTTTGTCCAGACATCGTGGGGATTTCGGAAGGTAGTGACAAAATCTGTTTGGCCAACGTGCCTTCTACGCAGTAGCCGGCGATTATGACTCCATTTCGGCGATCTGTGCACCAATTCTCGAACAGTTCACGACTCATACCGGACTGCATCATACCCGGGCTAGCCATCACAACACATGGACCGGAGTCATCGAAGTGCTCAATGCTCTGGAAATAAAAAGGGAAGAAGCATTTCCTCAACTTTTTGAGATTACCAACAATAAAACGATCAGGGAACAAAACCATCTGTGAATGGCAACAGGGACAAAAACAAGCTAGGGAAGGGGACGAGTAAGCGGCCTATCGAAGTGTCCGCCATTCGAATCACTCACTTCTTGCCACTAGACTGGCTACATATCGGGATGGGGTTCAGCACTACTGGTCGTCACCTGACATCGTAAACCTTTCAAATTCCCTTCTTTACAAGCGGACTAGTGGCTAAGGGCACAAACTTAGATTTATCAATAAATTCAGATTAAGAATTGGAACTTTGAGGCGCAGAACAAAGCAGTCCTAAAGCTAATGCTTTGCCTTCCCGCTCCCCGAATTCAATTCACTAAGAAGGCCTCAGTGATACGCTACCAAGCAAGCATCAACAGTCACGTGCGGACTGGGGATACTGAGAGATAATCACCAATTACGCATGATCGGATGGGTGATATGTGGTTTACAAGCAGGGACATGAAGCGATCGGTCACAGGCACGTTGCTGATGCGGTTTTTTAATGGGCAGCAGCAGTACGCCGGCACGCAGTACGGACGCTTCGCTGCCGCGCAACCACCACCGGTCGCACGTCGGCTAAGGAAACTGCGAAGGTTGCCCTGCCCCTATGCAGGCTCGAACTTGCGGCGCCAGATTACAGGACAAGCTCGTTACCTTTAGACTTTTAGATTTAAACATCTACAAATATAGTTATTCTGGATGAGATAAACTGAGACCCGGACAACCTCAAACATTTGAGGAGGAAAGAGTTAAACATACAAGTGGTTCAGAAGTAAAGAACAAACCAGCCGTATGGAACATAAAGTCTCGAGGCCCTATCACTAAAGTAAGCCCACAGTATCGTCTCCTGTGCGTAAAAACTGCAGAGCATAGTACTCTAACCAGTAACAACTAAGCAGCGTGTGATCTTTTAAAGCCAAAAACATGTTAGCTCAAAACCGAAACCCATCAAAGAAACGAGAAAAATGGGTCTTACCTTTAAATTTGAAATATGACGGAAACAAAATGGATTATTGTTGGCCAGCTGATTGCGGATTCGTTCATTCATTGCATGTACATATGTCTGGTAGACTGCCATACACTTACGAGCCAACTGGCTTGCGTAATAAATGGGAATATCGTGTAACTCCGGGTGCTCAGCCCAATACTCATCCAGTATGAGCATTAATTCTTGTGCCCGACCAAGTGCGAAAGCGGGAATTAAACATCGGCCACCTCGTCCAACGATATCGTGCACTAGGCGAGTGAAGCGAGCCTCACGTTCCTCCCGTTTGTCATGAATATGAATACCATACGTGGCCTCTGTGATTAGCACGTCAGGTCTAACAGGTGGGATTTCGGCGCACATTAAATGACGGTCTTCTTGACGGCTGAAATCTCCGGTGTAGAGGACCTGTTGAAAAAACAGTCCGGCCAAAGAAGATTCTTACCTTAACCCCTGCGATTTCTACGAGAAACATGGCGGCACCCAGAACATGGCCAGCGTGGAACGCTGTAAACTTGATGCCATTCACTTCAAGTTCTTGATGGAAGTCCAATGTCTCGATGTGATCTAAGCTTGAAATTATGTCACGATCTGTGTACAGCGACTGATCAGGAACGCCGGAGGCATTACTACATGTGGTAAAACTCAAAGTGGAAACATAATACCTGCCTGACTCGAACAAAATCACCCAGTAAGTAACGATATATGGCCTTGGTAGCATGTGTCATGTAACATTTCGCCTTTATGCCTGTTTTCAGCAACAGGTGCGGCAAACCACCGCAGTGATCTAGATGAAAGCTATCCAGAGCAAAACACAGTAATCCTAATTGTGAACAGGTTACTGGCTAATGAGAATTAAATCCGCGGTCTGTATGTCAGGAATAGCGTCGATAAAAGGTAGACTTTCTTTGTTCCGTAATCCAGGGTGTATGCCACAGTCCAGCTATATGATTAAAAATCCGCTGTGTTAGAAACACAACTTACAATAATCTTTTTCCCCTTGAAGCTCAACAGAATGCATGATCTTCCCACTTCTTGGCCAGCGCCGCTGAAATCAGCAAACAGTGAAATTTGGATTATAACACAAATGGGAAAATATACCGCTGGATGTAGGCGTGGCAGTTAACACATCCAGCAACGTAAATATTCATCTGGTCACCGAGCTTGGATATTTGTTTACACTGATATCACCGTACTGACGATGCCACCTCGCATGATGGTGAGACGTGTGCATCCATGTTTCCAAGCTTGGCGAATAAGTGAGCAAATGAGTCGTCAACCCAAGCTATCAGTGTTCCGAAACATTTTAAACGTAAATGTATTATAGTTAGCGACAGAGCCAAGGTTAACCGAAATAGGCTATATAACCGTCTGTAGAAGTAAATGTAGCACCGATTCAAAAGGTAAACCCACAATTTAGCAAGGCTAAGTCGAACGCGGATGTCTTTCGTTAATGTGTCTCGTGTAAAATCAGGCATAAACATTATTACCATGGTGTAAACAAACCCGATCTGAGTGAATTGTATAAATGATAAGAGGTAACTAAAGACGAGAATTGTGTTATGGCGTTTACTTATTGCGTGACAACCGAACTAAAAATGTCCAGCTATCAATGCATAAGCCATCGTAACCCTTTCCCCACATTACTACATAAAGAAACCCGGAGCAAAAGCAACAACTTGACCGCGTACCAAGGCATGATGGGAGTCAACCCAAGTATACCAGAACGAGCGATAGTCTGGGGTAGGAAGTCTAGCGTTTTCTTAAGAGTGGTTATACGCTTGCACACAAGACAAGAACGCTGTCGCTAGGTATTTTGAAGAAGTGGGGGCCGATTCCGTTGAAGAAACGTGGCTACCATCAGCAGGCCATCCGCTTTTATTCTTTCGGATTTACACTGGGTATGGAGCGTGTGAATGGAACTGTGTGGTGAAGCGCAAGCCATCTATGGTTCCTCTGTATGTGCAGGCGCCCGGCTGCTGACCTGTGGAGCCGCAGTGACAGGAAAATCCGGAATCGGATGACGCCAACCAAATCTATACTGCGTGCTAACCTGAAGAGGTAGAGTAGATCCTAGTGGTCTCATCATACGTCGGAGATGGAAACCATCCGAAGTTATTCCGTCTGGTACGGGAAACGGGCAGTGGGAGATCTGCAGTTAGCGAGAAGACACGGGACGAAAGTAGACAGTTAATCCATAGCTTGTCGAAACACTTGCAGCGTTGGGTCGAAGACATTTAAAAGCAGTTTAAGTAACCTGATTTATCATCATCGGTTTTGGACATTAACCGCCCTTCTCCCTGGGCCGTCCTCTTAGATCCGCCCTCAAGCGCAGAAGTCAAAAGTGAGATCAGATACTTTGAGAACCTGCTTTTTTAAGTTGTTGGATAAGGCCGTTGAAGTTCTATCGGTTGCCGCATGCACCTTTTCCTCTCAGCTTGCAATTGCAGTGCTATATCGAAGTCCTGAAACTACTTCCAGGGAAATTATAGAGTTCCTTCCTACTCAGGCTATTAAGAGGTCTCTAGTTCGACAAGGATGACCTATCTCTCCATTCCTTTTCAATTTTGATATTGAGGATGTTGTAAAGAATCTTCTGGATAACTTGTTGAGCATCTCCCAGATAGCCGAGTTGTCGACTTGGACTACGCTGATGATATCGTTTTTCTGGGTGACGGTCCACAGGCCGTCCAAGTTGCACTCAACCGCTTGGCGAGTAAAGCGTCAAAGTATGGGATGGATTTTTCCTCACCCAGGTGCAAAGCTCAAGACTTTCAGATGACTGCACCTGCACTCACTCTTGGTGGTGAGACACTTGAGTTTACGGAGTTTCGCCTACCCAGGTAGTTGTATCACAGCCGGTGGAGTTGTTGGAGACGAGATTTCGGTGAGTATCTCAGGAGCTCGCCTCGCTTTCTCTAAGCTGAGGCAATTGTGGCGCCGCCATAACATCCGTCTATCCATCAAAGGGCGGGTTTTTGTGTGACTGTCCGCGCTATACTGCGTACGGTTACGAGACGGCCTGTTAGTATCATTGACCTGCACCGTCTCCCTATCTTTGAGCACTGTTGCTTGCGGTCTACTGCCCGTGTGTGGTGGCTGCACCACGTAACTAATGTAGAAATTAGACATCGTGTATTGGGTGAAGGCAGCGACTCGCTTGAGGAGCTCGTACCGCTGTATCAGTTGCGGTGGCTTGGACACGTACTGCGCATGCCCGCTCATCGTCTTCCGTGTCGGGCGTTGTTCGCTGTTGCTAGACAAGACTGGAAGAGACGGCGCGGTAGACAACCTACAATTTGGAGAAGTCACACAGAAAGCTGACGAAACAGTTGGCCTGAATCGGATGTTCTCGAATCTCTAATTGAGATTTCAGACACAGAGTATGGACGAGGTAGTGGGTAATAGACAGGTAGGCACCTTGTCAATATGAACATCAAGCGCAGCCACACCGGGGATATCAAGCAACAGCCAATCACTTGAAACGACAAGATGAAATAAAACGAATCAGATAATGCATACAGATACGGTGGTATACCTCTTCAATAAATGGGCATATTAAATAAACTGGCTACGAACGAATCCACAATAAGTTCAAGAGGTCAGAAAATATATTTTAAGGAAATGCCACAAACGCAAAAATGTTATCGAAATTAACTGCAATTAGCTTCAGAGACGTGTGTAAGTTAATAGAAGATAGTACAGGTAGACATTAACATGAGAAAAAAAGGATTAGGATAAAATTCAAAACCCACCACCTGAAATAAAGAGACCTAGCATGCAAGCACACGGTTAGTAAATTGAATGCAGCGTACCTACAAACGCTGCGCCGGTTCTGCCTACGTCCTGTGCATGACCCGTCGTCGCTTCGGTGGTGACTCCGAGTGGCCTCGCTCATGGCTCACTAGGCCTGTAGTACTAAGGCATTCGCGACCGCATGTGCTACAGCACCATGCGCTCGATGTCGATGGAGTACAAGCCATCCACGCTTGTCGCTTCTTCTCTGCATACATGAGGTCTTTCTCCCACACTTCGACAACTGCCTTCGTGATCAGATCGCACCATGCACGCCGATCAACCACCTTAGATTCCCATGACCCGCAATCAAGATTAGAAGGTAAGAAGCTCACTTTGATCATGTTTTGGAAACGAAACTTTGGTTTCCCAACATGCCGATTCCCAATACTCAGCTAACCATATAAGAGTTGTTTCGGTATCCGCGTCGAATTCATACGGCTCGCATGACCGAGCCACCTCAAGTGTCTCAGCAAAAGTATGCAGTCCACTGCATACATCCCACTTCGACGCAACACTTCCGTGTTCGCAACTCTGTCGCCCCAACTGATGCGCAAAATTCGTCGCAAACACTGTTGATAGAACCACTCGAGATATCACACATCCCGCCGGTACATCGTCCACGTTTCACTGCCGTATAGAAGAACGGACAGTACCATGGATTTGTACACCATCAGCTTCGTGCCAATGGTAAGCTGATGGTTGTTCCACACTCGGTACTCTAGCCTCCCGAATGCCGCCGCTGCCTTAGAGACGCGGATGCGCAGCTCACTGTGTAGCTGCTGATCAGTCGACATCACACTCCCAAGGTAGCTGAAGTGGGAGGTGGTTTCCAATACTTCAGCACCAAGACAGATTCGCGACAGTATTGAAGACTGCACATCCGGTGAAAGCTGAAAGAGACAAACAGTTTTGCATGCGTTGATGGTTAGCCCGAATTTGGCCGTGGTCGAAGCCAGAGCATTAGTCATGTGTTGCAACTCATCCGTGCTGTGGGCAAACAACGCACGGCCGTCAGCAAACAGCAACATACGGATAGTTGTCTCACAGACTAGAGTTCTCGTACCGAAACGACTTATGTTCAGTAACCCACCATCAATACGGTGCTCCACACGAACACTGCAAACACAAGCGGAATCAAAAGCCAAAGACATCATTGTATGAAGATACATATTAAACACAGCAGGTGCTAAGACACAGCCTTGCTTCACACCAAGGACAACTACAAAGTCATCCGAGGTCTCTCCACTCAGCTGCACCCTCGCCCGCATACCACTGTGTAGACATTCAATTAGGCTTACAAACTTACGCGGGTAACCAAACTTACCCAACACAAGCCACAATGCCTCGCGGTTCACCGTAACAAACGCCTTGGTGAAATCAACAAAAAGTGAGTACATCGGGTAGTGCCGTTCACTACACTTCTCTAGCAACTGACGAGCCGCAAACACCATATCTATAGTGCTGCGACCCGAACGAGATCCACACTACTCTTCCGCCACATTTGGTTCCACAACCTGACTGACGAGGCGGTTGAGCACGATTCGGGCAAACACCTTGCCCACACAACTCAGCAAGTTGATGCCACGACAATTCGTCCAACATTGCTTGCTCCCTTTACCCTAGTACAGTGGTAGCACAAGGGCATCCTTCAGCTCAGGAGGCACCTCCTCCTCAATCTATAAGCGTTGCACCAAGTGGTGCAGCGCAGTCACCAACGCGGGTCCGCCGTGTTTCAATACTTCAAGCGAGATTCCGTCCGCCACGACACATTTGCCGTCTCGCAGCTGAGCAAGTGCTCTCTGCGTCTCATCCAGTGTCGGCGTGTCCGCTAGACTCGCCTTCACATCGTGCTGCTTGAGGTCGTTCAATGTAGGCCAGTCGATCTCTGAACGGTTGTTCAAGAGACAGTCAAAGTGTTTCCTCCAGATCTGCATTATGTCTGCAGTCTGTGTGCACGTAGCGCCTGAACTACCATCGATCAGTGTCCTCAGCGGTTCTAATCTCGGTCCATACACCGCCTTCAAGGAGTCAAAGAATTCCTCGTGTTGGCGGCGTTCAGGGTAGCATTCCATCTACTTCGTCTTCTCCGTCCACCATGCATTTTTAATGCGACTCAGTTCACCGATTAGTCGCCGTCGAAGTTTGCGAAACTGACTATTCTTCCCCAAGTCACTGGAATCTGCGACATGTGCAGCAAATGCTGCAGTCTTCTCCGACACCAATGCGCCAATCGTCGCATTGTTCTCATCA